ATTTTACACATATCATTCTTTCTTTAAACTGCCTTGACTTTTTTAAATGGTCCAGATTTCCTGTGTTTGTAGTCATTTTCAAAGACCTCGGCAACAGCTGTATGGATAGAACAAGTGAATTATGAAACTGTGTAATGGCTTTGTTGCTCAACCACATTTAATGAGGGTAAAAAAATGTGTACAATAAACATGAAACTTTACTGTGAGTTCTATTACGTGAACAAAACCTTGGGGTACATTCTGTGTTCAAAACAATTTCTTTCTGCAATTTTCTGCTTTCTATTTCGAACCTTGATGATCCCTGTTTTAACCACCAATTCTTTTGGAAGAGGAATGTAACTGGTGCCAGTGGGATTATATCGCACCACATTAATATAAAACGCGACAACTTTATAACATACCCAGTCTGAACCCCGTTGTTTGTGTGCATCGACGTCTTCCATTTATTTTTTATTTGTTGTTTTAACTCGTTTTTTGACCTCTCGTTGGGTAAACACCGTGATATTTTTGCACGAAAATGCAAAAACACTGACTTGGATTTCAGCTTCGGGCTTTTCTATTTTAAATTGAACCTTGATCGCGGTTTGCAACTTGTGCGTTCCTGTCTCTTTAGACTCAGCCTTTCTTTTTGATGTAATTTTGGAAGAAACTCAAAAAGTGTACTAAGTCGTCTGCAAAGAAACTAGGCTTCAGTTCCCAATTTCTGTAGTTACCTTGAAAGCGTCGGACGTTTTGAATGTCTGACTCTTCAATCGCTTCCGGTTGAGTGTAATTTTTGATTGCTGTAATGAGATCTTTTCGTAACACGTTGCCGTTTGCACCTGTGGCTGTAAAGGATATGTCATTGTCTTGGAATACCTGTAAGAGCTGACGGTAAGTTTGGTGCTGTAGGTTTCTGAATGAATGCTGGCTCGCTTGGATTGCGTACAATCTGGTTTCGTATGTTGGCAATAGTGAGCTGCAGGTAATGATATGTTCATTGTTTGACAAAGTCAGATAAAAATGATTTTTTAAATCGATTAAAACCTGATAACACAGGACGATGTTGCGATGTGGTTTTTGGATTTCTATTTATGTTTATATTTATATATAAGTAATTAAACTTTTTCTTGAAGCCTCAAGTTCCCATTTTAGGGGGCTTGAGGTTTTTTCTTTTCATGAGGCAACAAATATTTTATAGAGGGGTGAGAAACTTTTTCATTTTTTCGGAAGGGGGAAGTCCCGGGAAGAGGGAGTCGGGTAGGTATACAAGGGTAAAGTTGATCGGGCGGTTTTTGAGATTTTTGAAAAAGGGTTGATAAGGTCATCAAGAAAAAGGTTGATAAGGTATAGGAGGGTAAAGTTGATCTGGTACTTTCTTTTGTCTACTACTCGGTGAACGTTGACATCTTTGGGCAGTCCAGAAAACTGGTGAACCAAGTAAGGCATGAATCATGCACAATGTTTATGCAGAAGTGGTGAGTGGGCTTCACATGTTTCCTTCTTCCAAATCTGGAGTTTTTTGCTGTTATTGTAGCAATACTTTATGGCACAAGTTCTCCCAGAATGTCCCCTTTTTGAAATGGTATCCATTTTATTTTATAACAAACCAATATTATTCAGTTACTAATCAGCCGTGTTGTCAGAATTCAGTAAACCAATTGTATTGTAATATAGACCGGTTCTGCTGAGTCTATGTATGCTGACAAACGGCACTGTGAAGCTTTCTGTCACGTTTTGTCGGCTCTCGGCTGTTTATTGCTGCAGAATTCTGACACTCACTCCAGATGAGAAAAACTCTTCCAAAACAATGTGCTTCTAACAATGCCACTACGCCGTTGGTCTTTTATTCGGTTTGGAATATGCCCAAGAGTCAGTATGTCAAGTAATATTTCATAAAAATGTTTCAGTCTAAACGCAAATCATGTAACCTTGAATTGAAAGGTGCACTTTTTCTGTACGGGTGTGTTCAAGGCACCATTTTCGTGATTTAGCAGTCTTCAATTGTCATTACAGTTACAGGCAACAAAAACCCAGATAAAATATTATGCCATTTTTCTGACTTCATCGTGATGTATCTATTTTTTGTAAATTCATTTTTGAATCTTTAATTTTCCCCTTAGGTTTTGTATGTATTTTTCAACAGCCACTCCTTTTTACTGATATGACTGAATGTACATGTATATTAGGTCGACACTCAGCTAGAGCTGTCTGAGAACAAAATCATTGTAATAACGTCATCATGTGACATGGCATTAACGGTACATTACGGTTTTCCATCAAATATTAAATTAAAATATGTGCATCCGTTGTCCAAGGTGTTGCTTTTTGCCCCATTTGTCATATGCGACATGCACCGATAAAGAAATGCTATCCGCCGGTAATGCTGGCTACAACCAATAGAGTTGATGACTACTATTTGATTCCCCCATTCCAACTTCTTTTTTTTATTGAATTGAAGGAGTTCCCCAAAACAGCTCAGTGTTTGTCTCGCGACAGACACACTTCTTCTCATTTCTATTTGTTACTGAGTTAATCATCAATGTCATGGTTAGATATAGTAGTGAGCAATATACATATACACCCCAGAGTGGTCCTGCCTCTTTCATCAATGTACTTTAATGTGGCCTTAAACTGTGAAAATCCATCTACCCATTGTAACCAGGACCAAAGTTCATATCTCCTAAAAGTGCACTAAGCATAAACGAGTATACTCGCACACCCAAGACTTAGATAAAGCGCGCTGAACAACTAATCCCCCAAAACACGCACCGACGTGTGATTTCTGCTTGCACCATAATGCGTGCACAGCAGAGGCGCCCAACTTGAATATTATGAAAGCAACAACATGACGTACATGTAGGAGCTCGCATGCGCATTAGAAGTTTCTTCGTATAACAACAAAAGTAAGTTAAGTCGGCAGATACAGGAAGTAAACTAATTTCTGCTACAACACCATAGAGCTTGGTGTGTGAGTGTGTGTGTGTGAGTTTCTGCATTCAGTTGGGGACCCTGAACAATAGAGGACAATAAGGTCCCTGATTGATAGAGGGTGGCTGATTGGCAACTGTGTACAAAACATATGGGTGGTCTTCTAAAAAAGTTAAAAGTACAAACAAATAGGAACAATAGGAGGTCCCAAGTTGCAGGCAAATACACACTTGTGTGTGTTTGTGCATTCGGCCCTGGACCCTGCATGCGATTTCAACAACCCTGCGTCGAGTTCCATTATTGAAAGAATGTTACGCTCATCTCACAAATTTGTAAATTTGGTTTCTTGGAAAATACGTGACTCAAATCGCAAGTCACCATGGCTCGAGTCAGAGCTACCAGTATAAGGTTGAGTCCAATTCATTTTCCAGTGTGACCCAAGTCGAGTCTGAGTCACGAAAAAAGTGATTTGATTAAGTTTTAGTCCTTGACTTGAAAGTGTAATTATAAATTTAATTTGCTAGTAGTGGATGTAGAAACTAACCCAGGATCTACCAGGTGGAGTTGAAAATCTAAATGGCTACATGTGCTGTATGTGGAATTTATGATCAAGCCATTAAACACTCGGATGGAGGTGTGAAATGATGGATGCTGACTGTGAATCTAGAATAAATGCCTAGGAATCTTAGAAGTAGGTCACACTTATCAAAACTTGAAGAACTCTACATAAGCATGCCCAACCTCTCAGATATACATGTAGATTTCCATCCCAAAGGATTGATTTGGTCTTTATCAAGCATGTTAGAAACTATTTGAAATGGCAAAGACCCAGTAACTAGAAAAGCACTCAAGCCTCAAAAATTTTCCAGTTAGAACTAATGCATGTATTACAGAAGATGTTTTCAATTGTTGGTAGTATACATGGCAAAGTCTATCAAGTCGTCTACATGGACAAATTTGGGCTTCCCCAGCTGCCTTACATGCTGGAAGAAGTGTATGTCAGAAATTACTAAAGATCCCTATGTGCGACCCACCGGGGGGGTATCAAATCACAGCATGCATTATCAAAGTAATGTGAACACACAGTTACATGAAGCATTTGAACCAACAGGAATAGAGAAACTGAGGTATTTATGAAAAATAAATCACCTGATGACATAACCTTATTCCATCTATACATGAAGATCTTTGTGTGGTATAACCTCAATGGGTATGCAATGTTGTTACACAGACATATAAGTTACCAAAGTGCAGTATAAAAAAATCTTTACAAAGTGAACGGGCCTTTGTAAAGAGAAGATTCTAAAGAAGCCCCCCAAAAAGAAGCTTATCAACGAAACTGGAAAAAATCATCGATCAAAATGGAAAAGTTTAAGTATCATATTTAATATGTTTTGACTTCTCATGGGCATACTATGCAGAAGGATGCAAACTTAACAATGTGTACACTGTTTGCCAGCCACATTATCACTCAGTTATGGTATGGTAATGTCTGACTGCATCATTGCAGAACCAGGGTACTTAGCACTCATTTTACGTGTAATTAGAGCAATTTTTAGCACTGGCGATTGGTCTGTTTGGAAAGTGTTCTGCATCCTGCCAAGTGTTCCTTAAGGTGACTCAAAAACTATCAAAATGTTTAAATCTGATGATACAGTTTTGCGGAAAACAAAGTTTGAGTCAGGTGGAGTGAGTGTTGGGCATGCTATCAGCAGTTGTTCAGCACACTGGCGCACCCAATCAATGGTAGGAACACAGTGTGTGTATTTATTTGTGCAGGAAATCTTTCACTTGTCCCTTGGTTATATAACCATTTACACTCCTTCCTCTCAGAGCAAACAAATGCCAATTAGGAATGAAAATGTTTTGTTTGAAATTGCTTAAGAGATGCACAGATACATTGTATTTTCTGTTAAAGAATTTGTTCATGTGGTTTAAGGTACTGACACGAACCCTTTTTGTCAATTTAATGTACTTGTACCTTTAAATTGAATCCTTAAGCTTTTTCTGATGTATTTTAAATGAAGTCTTAAGCTTTTTAAAATATGTATTCTGTCTACATGTATTTCAGTACTTCTGGTATATTTCAGAGGAATCAGTTGAGAGAAATGGACATGACGGTACGTCAGGAGTTAGATGATTTAGTGGTCAACTACAGTGACACTCTTGACAAGATTACAGAAGTGAGGCAGAGAATGCATAGTACACTCCAACAGGTAATTGAAGTCATCCAGTCGGGTTAGAAGCTAACTTACGGTACCAGCATCAGTTGCAATATACATGTAATATGGCTGCAACTTCGATCATAGATGTGTTGTGTATTTAACATACTGATAAAGGCTTTCATTAACTTTTTTTGCAATGGAGTTTTATACTCACTTCTTTTGTAGAAAGGAGTATTTGCAACTCCTGAGGTAAGAAATCTGGAAGTATTTCACTTCCTGGAGTGAAAGCAAGGAGTATTTTTTTGTCTTCTAGTAAATGATTATGAAATCAAACTCAGTACATGAGATTTGGTTTACATTGTCATCTTAAACATAAAACAAGTTGTGTAGTGCTTGTGTCCCTATCTGCAGACCCAGGACGGAAGTTGAAATTGCAAGGCACAGACTTTGTTGTCGACGT